AGCCCATTTAGTGATTAAGGCTAGGTAAGAAATGAGGCAAAAAATGACCTCTTTTACCTAGTCAAAAAAAAAAAAAGCAATCTGGGAGGCTCAGAAGACCCTCAGAATTTTTGGCCAACACCAAAACAGTTGCTATTTACGCTCATTAAGCCACCCGGGCTCAAACAGTGACCAGGTGAGGCTCTGGCTGGGAGCTATTGTTGGCCAGTCAGTGAGAGCCTGAGTCACTTGGGTTTAAGGCATGATCCTCAAGAAAGAAATCTAGCCAGTAAGCCTCAAGATATCTTCTGAGGTTTCAGTGTTCAAAATTTACATTCCTTTGAGTTGAGCACCAGCAAGTAAGGGTCTGATTCCTTATGTGGACAGAAGGAGGGAAGGGAGAAAGAGAAGGAAGGAAGGAAGGTCATACTAGTTAGTGACAAATGGAATAATACATGGGCTGCAAAGTGTTTTGGTGAGAATGGTTGATGTTTCTAATTTGCCTCTGACTTTACTTCATAATCACACGATCTTTGGTTGACTTTGAATCCATAGTTTAGTAGTTCATGTAAAGAAGTGGTAGGAAGAGGAAGGTTGGTATTGCCCCTGGGTGGTGGGACCTTTTCCAGTGAATTTTGCTTTTGTCTTATTTCAGATGAATTGGATGCTGCCCTCGTTCCCTTTGTGAACTTCAGTTGTGGGGCTTTTGCTGGCATTCTGGCATCCTTGGTAACTCAGCCCGCAGATGTTGTCAAAACACACATGCAGCTGTCACCGGAGAAATTTCGGAGGATTGACCAAACTGTCACAGTCATTTTCAAAGTAAGGCTGAGCTAGCTCATCAGTCATTGCTGGGTGTCTGCATCTGGCCTCTGATCTGGAGGAGAATCAGTTTGCTCGTATCAAAGTGAGAACAGGAATACTTATACCCCATGCCTTACAGGGTTATGAGAGAAAAGTGCTTTGCAAATTAAAGCTCTCCAAAGGTGGGAAAAGCTATTATTGCTTTTAGGGCTAGGAATACATTCGGGTGAAGAGTACGGGCCAAGACATTGCCCAGGTCTAGTTTATGGTTAATATCCAGAGGGTTGTTCAGATGTCAAGGTAATGGGGTGTCCCAAAAGTCTTAGCACTAACATGTATGGGCCACCCTGTATAGTATAGGCAGCCATATTCTCCCGCTAAAGGATCATAGACTTAGAGCTAAAAGGGGCCTTAGCAGTTAGACCTTAGATTAGACCTATCTAACCCAACCCCCTCATTTTACAGATGAGGAAACTGAGACTCAGGTTAAGTGATTTGCCCAGCATCACATGGCTGGAAAGTATCTGAGAATCCATTGTTTAGGCACTCATCTAGTATTCTGTCCACTGTGGCATCCTCTCATATTGCTTGTAGAATTTTGCTCTTAACCTGAATTCTTCCTTCTTGCAGGATTATGGGCTAGTCGGCTTCTTCCATGGTGGTGTTCCCCGTGCCCTTAGACGAACTCTGATGGCAGCGATGGCATGGACAGTCTATGAAGGGATGATGGCTAAGATGGGTCTGAAGTCCTGAAAGAATGGAAGGAGAAAGGATGGAATCAGCCTATTTCCACCACCCTGTCCCCATTGAATGATGATGCTGTCTGTCCATTTTGGGCAAAAATGATGTTTCTAATCCAGAGGTCCAGGCAGAATTGATTCACTTTCTGCAGTCAGTATACAAGAAATGGAAGTATTTGACCATTTGAAGCATTCCAAGGGGCCCATCTTGCCAGTAAACTGACTTTGGGTTGGGGATGGGTGAAGGTTTTTGTATACCTTGCAAATCTACCTGTTCAAGGCACGTGGTATCCAGAAAAAATGTCTCTGTGGAATAATCCTACTTGAGCCACCTGTGTGCATCAGGATGGCCTTTTGCGTAAGTCAGTTGGAGAAGCACTTGTGATTGTATAGTCAGGCCCATGTCCTGAGCTGAGGAGAATTTCTTTGAATTGCAATTTTAATTTATTGAGGGTCTGATGAGTAGACAAAAGACCCTTACCGTAGCCAGTTTTGGTTTTTGGCAAACTATAAGGGAGAAAAGAAACCCTTATTTTCATTGAGTCCTCAATCCTTGTTCTGAAGGATGGATCAGTTTGGTTTCCTGCTTGTTCCCCGTCAAGTCAGTTCACTTCTGTTTTGGCTTAGAAAGAACATGTTATTTCTGCCAAGCTCCAAGCTAGTTCAACAAGCCGCTTTGACGTTTTTCAGCAGCTAAGGTGGGGATGTATGAAATCAAGCACCTTGTCATTCACATTATTGAAAGCTGTTTAGACTACTTAGTTCGTATTGTCCCTTGCCGTAGAATGATACAGTTCCATTGGGAAGGCAGGCATCCTTTTAATCTAGTACTTGTTGTAGTGAAAACTGCCTTCTGACTCCCTTTCAGAATAGGAAAACTTTCTGTGTTCTCTGCTCTGAATTTGCCAAAGAAGTAGACCCAAAGACCCTTTTCAAGAGGGAAGGTATAAAGACTCAGTATTGTTGGTCTAGAAGCATCTTAGGGGAGGCTCTCTGAACGAACGACCCTTTCTCCAGTGCCAGGGAAGACTCAGAGCTGCTTTTGCAGATTTCCCCAAAGGCTTAACTCAGGGAGTTTCCCAAACTTGGGGTATTAAAGGGGACACAGACAACCAAGTTTACTTATTCAGAGGTTATATCACTTACAATTTTCTATTGTGTTTCATGTTAAAATACCTTTCCCTGATGGATAAGTATTGGGGGGGCGGTGAGGGGTGGAGAAAAATGTCTTTTTCCATCTAAGGACACAGATGCATTATTTTGTCATATCCCCTAACTTCACACAAGCTGCTATATCTGTGTTCCTTTCTGTGCTGTGTCAATAGGAGAGTAGGAACAGGCCCAGCTCTTGAGGAATCTGAAAGGCAAGGCAGATTTTGGTTTAGGTTTTTAAAGAAAAAGTAATTTGCCCTTAAGATGGCACTTCATTTTTGGAATAATTTGGATGAAGCCAACTTAAAGTGGTTAGGGATAGGATGTACCATGATTCTAATTTTGGCAAATGTGATGCATCCTTTGGGTCACTGAGAGATTATAGAGTTATTTATTACACTTTTTTTAGGCCTACGTTAAATGTACCTCTTGTAATCTAGTAGTTACTTAATGGGTCTTCACTTCTGTTTCAAGAAGCAATGCTCCAATTTGCTTCGAAGCTGATTTGACCTGGCTCATTATGGTGAAGTTCTTCAAGCCTTGTAACTGATATTTTTACATCCCAAGAAAGGAAGAAAGCTGAGATTTTAATTTCTAAACCTTGGAAATCTAATTTGTATTTCTCCAATGCGTGTGATTTCAAAACTGGTGAAATGTAACTGACTAAATACAGTCTTAACTCCATTTGTTGTTCATGTTTGTGGCATTACATCAAAATAAAACCTAATAGAAATGAGAGAAATTGGAAACTTTGTGGGTCTGTAGTCTGGGCAGGTGGCTAGGTCTCTGATTCTCTGTTTCTCCTCTTATCCACAAAACCTTCATTTCATTAGCCAGTTACTTGGCTAATGAAATTTATCAGTTTTATGATTGGAAATGATTCATCTCTTCTTTCATGATTCTCAACAAGAGCAGAAAATCAGTAAGGTTCAGCATTAGTATCTTTTTTTTTTTTTTGTAGAATCTTAGCCACATTAAAGAAGGAAAAGAAGAAATTGACTTATGAACAGTAAAGTGCCCCTGTCTATAGATGGTGCTATATAGAAAATAGCTAGGATTCAGCATTTTCAGAACTTAGAAGCCCTGGAAAGATGATGGCTACACTTGCCTTTCACAAGGCCTCATCCTACTTTGGCGATTATTGACCCCAATTATACCTCTCATCAGAGGCATGAGAGGAGCAGCCAATGAGAACGACTGCCATCAGTATTTTAAAGAGAAGGGACTTAGGCTGCCGGTGAGTGGATTTTTCCCCTTGCTGTACAAATTAAACACCTTCTTGCAGATAAATGGTGATATTTGTTAATCAGAAAGAATTCCTTTAAGTGCTTGTTTGGGTATTACAGACCAAATCATCAGAAAGTGAGGTTTTCATTTCTAAACCTCTGCTTATACTGGATGAGTTGATTTCCCTTAATGGAGACATCTTGCACACATAACTGTAGCTTTACGCTGGGACCCATCCAAGATCTGAAAACTGAATTGTTCTCAAGGATTGCAAACACCATTGCATTTTCTCCCTCAATTCCCTCATTGTATTTTAGCACTAAAATTTTGAGAGAGGAAATGGGCTCAGTAGAGGAGAACTGGAGACTTTTTTAGCATGTTGGTATCTCTAGCGGAAACATTTGATAAAATTGTAGGTAGACATAAGAAAAGAGCTGTAGATGATTTAGGTGGGAGAGCTACAGGCTTCATGCTAAACTAACCATGTCTTGTGTATTTTGGCCACTTTGGGATCTGGGGAGGAATCCCAGGGAAAGGTAGGAAGGCTTCCAGTCCCCAGTGGTGTTAAGTGGGGTTTGCTTCTCTCCCCAGGAGGCCTTTGTATAGCCTTTTCTTTGGGGTGCATGCCTTGCCCCACCCCTTGGTAGTCACCCAGGGCTCTGGCCACTGGAGATGATCTAGGCAAGACGTGCCCGAAGAAGTCAACTTCACTCCAGCTCTGGGTTGTACCTGACGTCTTTCTTGAACTCATTGAGGTTGGAATTTTGTTCTTAATGCAGGTTGTTGGTGTGATTGGAGATGATGTGTATGAACTACTATGTGCTCAGATTTTTGAAGCTGTGTTATTTTTTCTCTGACATCCTTCTGGCTCATCTCAGCCTGGTGGGGGTGGGGCTGGGGTGGGTGGAATGGTCCAACATTTTACACACCTTTTAGTTTACTTCTCACTGTTCATGTGGGCCCAGGGTCAACACATGAGGTCAGTAACAGGCCTCAAAATACCTGGTAGCAGGATTCAATAGTCTTGCTTTGGATCTAGAGGCCTGCACAGATATTTAGGAATCAGATAATTTTTTTCAACTTTTGAGAAAAAAAAAACAGTAGGAAGAGGAGCGGGCTGCCATAACTCCATGACCTGCCCTTTCCTGCCCTTTCCCCAGAGATCAACCCTAAACTTGAACAGTTTTATGTGCACCAAAGGAAAAGGTGTTTCAACTTCCATAGAATTTTGAAGCATGAGCAAATAACGTGATTTAGGATACTTCCGAATTTCACACCCAGTTTTCTGGGTCTCTAGCACTTCCCCACAGAATTCAATAGTGTTTGTTTCCATACTTTTTTTTTTTCTCTGCCATGTATGGCAAGCCTCAAGATTCGGAAGTTCAGATCTTAACAAATGAGTAGAAGAATTTGTCCACCAAATGAAAGGTTTTTTAAATTAAAATGGTTTTTTTTGGGGGGGGGGAGTTAGACAATGGGGTTAAGTGACTTGTCCAGGGTCATACAGCTAGTGTTATGTATCTGAGGCTGGATTTGAACTTAGGTCCTCCTGAATCCAAGGCTGGTGCTCTATCCACTGCGCCACCTAGCTGCCCTAAATTAAAAAGGTTTTGCATAAACAAAGCCAATGCAACCACGGTTATAGGGGAAGCAGAAAGCTGGGAAACAATTTTTACAGCCAGTGTCTCTGATAAAGGCCTCATTTCTAAAATATATGGAGAACTGAGTCAAATTTATAAGAATGCAAGGCATTCCCCAATTGATAAATGATCAACGGATATGAATAGGCAGTTTTCAGAGGAAGAAATTAAAGCTACCTATGGTCATAAAAAAAGTGCTCTAAATCAGTATTGATTAGAGAAATATGAATCAAAACAACTCGGAGATACCACATCACATCTATCAGACTGGCTAACGTGACAAAACAGGAAAATGATAACTGTTAGAGAAGATGTGGGAAAATTGGAACACTAATGCATTGTTGGTGGAGTTGTGAACTGATCCAGCTATTCTGGACAGCAATTTGGAACTATGCCCAAAGGGCTATAAAATTGTGCATAACCTTTGACCCAGCAATACCACTTCTAGGTCTGTATTCCAAAGAGATCATACAAAACAGGAAAAGGACCCACAAGTACAAAAATATTTATAGCAACTCTTTGTGGTGGCAAAGAATTGGAAATTGAAGGGATGATCATCAATTGGGGAATGGTTGAACAAGTTATGTTATGTGAATGTAATGGAATACTCTTGTGCTATGAGAAATGATGAGCTGGCTGACATCAGAAAAGCCTGGGAAGACTTAAATGAACTGATGCTGAGTGAAATGAGCAGAACCAGGAGAATGTTGTACACAGTAACAGCCACATTGTGTGATTACTGACTTTGATAGACATAGCTCTTCTCAGCAATGCAAAGATCTAATACAACTCCAAAACACTTACGATGGAAAATGCTATCCACATCCAGAGAGTTGGAATGCAGATCTAAGCATACTACTTGCTCTTTTTTTTCTCTTCTGTTTCGTTTTGTTTCTTCTTTCTTGTGGTTCCTATTGGTTCTAATTCTTCTTTACAATATGATTAATGTGAAAATATGTTTAATAGGAATGTATATGTAGAGCCTATATCAGATTACATGCCGTCTTCGGGAGGAAGGTGGGGAGGAAGAGGGAGAGACAATTCATATAAGGGGCTGGAAGGGAGAAGAAATTCTGGAGAACAAGGAATGGGATTGGGAATGGCCTGGTGGTCAAGGCCAGGGCCTCACCAGTCAGAAGAGAAGGCTGTAGGGCAGAGGCATCACTAGGGGGAGAAGGCTTCCAGGGAAAGGAAATGAGAAATGATTTAACATGTGTCAGCAACACTTTGCCTCTTTGGAGAGTTAACTCTAGATCTAGGAGTCAAGCAGCAGGAAAAGGACTGAGCTGCCACCACCCATCTTGCCATCTTTTTTCCTCTCCCCTAATAATCCAGGCTCTGGCCAGAATTAGACTCCTTCTCAAGGACATGATTCTGCTCCCTTTCTGCTTTCCAAACTGAGGCTAGCTAGGAATCCCAGTGTATCCTTCACCCTCCAGCTCATATTTAACTGTTAATTTAATTTAACTGTTTCTATTCCTGACAGCATTGTACATTGTCTAGGAAGACCTTGAGCTCTGTATTGCTTGTGTAATTCATGAAGAACATGTCTATAATTGGAAGGAACATTCTATTCAGAAGAATACTAATATTTGGATGAAGGAAGAGTAATCTCAAAGGGTAGTCTTATTAGGAGATCTGTGAGGGGGCAGCTAGGTGATGCAGTGGATAAAGCACCAGCCCTGAAGTCAGGAGGACCTGAGTTCAAATCTGACCTCAGACCAAACACTTGACACTAGCTGTGTGACCCTGGGCAAGTCACTTAACCCCAACTGCCTTTAAAAAAAATCTGTGAATATGAAACATAACTTTAATTTCTCATTCATCTGCTTCTATCCATGGGATGTGGAGGGCAAAGGGATAGACAGTGCAAAGATGGGGGCCAACTTGGAGGCCCAATAATACCAGTCAGAACTTGGTGTTATGCAAAGGGTTTTTTTTAAAGATCTGGTTTTGCCGCCCCCCCCCCAATGCCCTAAGGGACAGGGGGACCTATTTGTAACAAAAGGAAAGAGCAGTGGATATGCAGCCTAGAAATCTGGAGTAGGCTACTATTTATGGGACCATAGATCTATAGTCCAGCTTGCTCATTTTAGAAATGGGGAAACTGAGGCTAAAGAAGTTCAAGTACCTTTGCCCAAGGCCTCAAAGGTAACATATGACATAGGTGTGATTTAAACATAGGTCCTCTGATTCCAGAACTGATGGTCTTTGCCAGGTGCTCTCCTGCCTCCGTCAAGGAAGTTACAAAAAGTGGATAATAAACCCCCCACTAGAACCTATGTGAAGACTTCATTGAATGGTGAAGGCAGGAACACCAAGTCATACTTGCTGAGTGTCCACAGAAAAGTGGTCTGGCTCAGATTAGGTACTGATGAAAGATAACGTTGAACAGGTAGGAAGGACCCACATTATAGAAGGCCTTAAAAGCCAGATTAAGGAGTTGAGACTTTATTCAATGAGCCTAGGGATGGTTATTTATTAGGGATCATAGAACAGTCCTACTCTCACATTTTTGCTCATTTTGTAGATGAAACCCAAGGACATTAAATGACTTGCCCTGGGTTGCATAGTTTTTGTTGTTGTTGTTTTTGAGGCAATGGGGTTAAGTGACTTGCCCAGGGTCACTCAGTTAGTAAGTGTCTGAGGAGGGACTTAAACTCAGAAATTTGATCTCAGGTCCTCCTGACTGGAGGGCTAGTATTTTATCCACTGCACCACCTACCTGTCCCTTCAGGTATTCCTTTCAACTGAGAATTCAAACCCAGGGTCCTCTCCAAATTCCTGAAAGTGACCATCTCAGAGGGTAAGGGACCTGAGAGGTCATCACTTAGGTTTGGATCTCCTTTGCACAGAGCATCCCTTGATGACACTGATGAGCACCATTTGCTTATTTCATGCCTCACTTCATGAAATTTGTTAATTTCATCTGCCACATTCTATAATTTGATTTTGGAATTCTGTCACTTTGTGTTGTGAATTCTTCCAAAATAAAATTTTTTTCCAGTTAGCAAAATGGGAGTTGTTTCAGGGAGGTGGGTACTTGAGACAACTCTGATGATATAAGAAGCTGAAGATGTCAGTAAAAATATTTTTCAAAATGCTGTGTGACCACAAGGGTAAAAGCAAGCTGAGAAAAATCACAGCAAGTGAGTAGTGCTTGGTTGAGTTAGGATTTGAAGAGCGGGTAAAATTTGGATATTCTGAGGGATTCTCGAATCCCTTAATGGCCAGATTAATGACAGAGATTCATTCTACAGATTTGTCCCAAATCCTCAGTGTAATAGTTAGAAGTACCGGAATTTAGAATGGGAGATAGAAGGGGGTGGGTGTAGAGGAGGAGAGTGGAGACGGAAAGAGGAGGTAGGAAAAGAAAGGGGATGGAGAGATGAAGGTGAGAGAGGCGAGGAGAGGGAGACAAGACGGACAGGGGAAAGAAAGGGTGGGGAGAGAAGACGAGAAAGAGAAAGGGGGGAGAAAAGGGAGGAGAGACAGAGACAGAGACGGACACAGACAGACAGAGACAGAGACAGACACAGAGGGACGGAGGAGAGACAAACCCGCAGCAGAAGCACGGACTTCGGGACAGAAGGATAGCCCCTGGAGGAAAGCAGAGAGAGAAGCAGAAGGATTCCTCGAAGCCCATTCCCACCCTGGGGCAGTGTCCCTGCTGGCCCGCCCCTCCTCCCTGCCCCTCCTCCCCGCCCCTCCTCCCCGCTCCTCCTCCCCGCCCCTGGACGACCGGCCCCAGGTCTTTGGCCGACGAGCATGTCCAGGAAGTCCCCGGGAGGCTCGTTTCACTTCAGCTGCCGACGCCCGCTTGTTCTGGGGTGCACCCACTCGCTCTCCTCCTGCCCCAGCCCGCAGACTCGGAGGTCCCTTCCTGACCGTGGAGACCCTCAAGAACAGGGTGGTGAGCAAATGGGACAATGTGACCCAGGCCGAGCTGGAGCGGCTCAAGGTTTCCCTGAAGGACTGCGAGGAGGAGCCCAGACTCCTGACGCCTGCCAAGACAGGCAGTGAGATGGATGCGCTTTGTCGAGTACCCGCCCCACTGGTTCTACTTCCTGAGGTTCCTGCAGACAGGCGGTAAGAACCTGCTAGACGAGTGGTAAGAGGTGGGACTGCACGGTCTGGGCTCCCCTCCTCCTGGGGAGGAGTGTCCCACCCTTCAGACTTCCCCTGCACTGCTTCTTACTCCACCCCACGCGCCCATAAGAATAATCAAGTTTGACAGTACTTAAGTTCTCCAAATCATCTCAATGTGGAGTCCCACTAGACCCCTGGTAAGCTAAGCTACTGCTCCAGGTATTCTTCGCTCCATTTTTTTTTTTTTTTAACAGAGGAGCAAACCGAGGCGTAGAGGTGAAAGACTTTCATGTTTCTGGTCCTGCAGCTCATATGCCAGCCAGCTGAACTTGCACAGCTAGTGAGAGTCAGATGCTGTGTTGGAATCCAGAGTTCTACTTGTCTCACATCACCTTCCTACTTCACTCCCAGGTGTCACCCACAAAGAAAAGGTGGAGAGAGTTTCAAAAGATCAGGGGCCTAGATGGGCATTTGGACCTTCGGTTAAAAAGATGAGGACTTGAAATAACCAGGAAATAAACAGGAAGCCAAATGGGGAAACTGATACTTATAGAGGTTACTTGACTTGTCCAAGGTCACCTGGGGAGGTAGGACCAAATATGAGGTCTTCTGACTTCTGAACCAGGGCCCTTTTTAGAGTGCCAGGCCTCCCAAGTGCTGAGACCAAAAACATCAAAAGACTGAAGAATCATTTTGATAACTCCATAAATGGTTATTCAGGAGACATCTCCCCACCTCCCTTTCCATTCCAAACCAACAGGTATTTAGTGAGATTCCCTTTATTCAGCTATATGCTAGGCAGGGTGCTAGATACCTGAAGGATGTTATAATCCATCTGATCCTTGGAGTTGATCTCTAATCTTTTGAGATCATTGGCATGAAAGATCTCCAACAGTACATCCAATGTGATGAAGTGTGTGGTATATATTACATGTGTTTGGCATATAATATGAATTCCAGACTGTATATTGTTGTTTGTATGTTGTGTCTGCCATTAGGATGGGAGCTTGTTGAGGACAGGCAGAGACTCTGTTTTTGCCTTCCTTTATATCTTGGGCGCTTAGCACCGTGCTTGGCACAAAGGAAGGGCTTCCTGCTTGCTGACCATAAGAAAGGACCTTGACAAAGTAAGTGGTCCTTGCCAGCTTGCTTCACTCATTCAGTATGCACTTACTATGTGCTAGGTGCTGGGGATACAAAGCTAAAACCAATTTAGCTCTTGCCTTCAAGGAGCTTACACTCTAAGGAAGACAACATATACAGAGAAAATTAAATGAAAATATACAAAATCATTTCTGAGGTGACACTAGCAACTGGGGGATTAGGATAGGGAGGGGTGGTGTTATTCAGGGGACTTTTCCCCACTTCCCCCTCAATTACAGAGCAACAAATGAGATTCGCTTTGGTCAGCTAAGCAAGGTAGGGATTCTGTTAAGCAGAAGGACTGAATAAGTCCAGGGAGAAAGCCTGTGCAAAGACCCAGAGAGAAGATGGAGTCTTGGATAAGGGCCAAGCAGGCCACTGTGGCTGTATGGAGTGGTGGGTACAAAAGTTGTTATTGTTTTCATTTTATATGTGAAGAAACTGAGTCTCAGGTGAAGGGACTTGCCTCCGATCACCCAGCTAATAATTGCCAGTGGTGGGATTCAAAGTGGGTTTGTCCTGACTCCAAGTCCAATAGTATAGACAATGTACCATGCCACCCCTTGGGTAAGCATCTGGGTTGGGCTTTAAAAGATAGAAATTGAGTAGAGGAGGAGCAGGAGGGAAGAGACCTCAGGTTTAGGTAACAGCATGAGCAAAAGCAGGGAGGTGGGAGAGTGTAGCAGGGTTTGCAGAGAATGGCCCAATTAGTGTGTAATGCAGGGTCCAAGCCCCAGAGTCAGGAGATGAAGCTGGAAAGGTGCCAGATTGTGGAAGAGGATTGGATCTCAAAACTCAGATTAGTGTTGGTGGACTCTGTTTTTGAAGGGCTTTCCCTTTCTGAGTTATCAACAAGTCTAGGCAGAAGAGTCTTGTTTGAGCACGAGCTGCTGAGCTGTCTGAGCATGCGCAGTCAGGGTTGCAGGGTCTAAGGGAGACTGTTTCAGGGACCTGTCATTAGCCCCACAGCACTGTGGGATCCTGGAGTCCCAGCTTGATGAAAGAAGTCAGAGGAGCTTTGTGCCCACGTTCAGCAGCCCACGTGTTCAAAGTACTTCCAGGTTTACAAAGGACTTTTCTCACAACCACCCCGATAATACAAATATTATCCTTTCCTTCTGAGAGGTGAGCATCCCAGGGGTCAAGTCACTAGCCCAAGGTCAATAATGCTAAGTAGCAGAGCCTGCTGCCTTGGTGGGGATTGTTACATTGTCAGTACAAACATTTACACTTCAAATGAGGACTTGATTAATTGTTTGTTGATTGTCTAGACTTAAGAAAGTGATGGAGAAAATATTAGTAATGCAGGTTATATAGTAGTTACATAGTAGTTCAGGGAATAATCATCCCCCCCCAAATCTATACCCCCTCCCCAAGCTGGTTGTTAAACATATTTTCCAGCATGCCCCTTGAACCAAACATGCCCTTTTCATAACAGACTTTAGACTTTCTCAGGTTGGAGATGCAGCAGTAGACTTGGTAAATCAAACTTTATCAGAATACATATGGGTGAGGAGCCAATCCTTATTCTGCTTGGTCCCAGGCAGCAAAATAAGGTTATCGGTAGGGGTCTCGAAAGGCTTGATGTAAGGGGAAATTTCCTAACAATTAGAGCTGTCCAGAAATGGCATGAACAGCCTCCATGAGTCTTCCCCTCACTGGCGGACAGTGTGTGTGTGTGTGTGTGAGGTGGGTGTCTTCACCAGGAGACTAGCCCTTGTGTCAGGGATGTTGTAGAAGGAGATTCTTGGTCAGGGTTGATTGTAGTAGAGGGCTTCTTGGCTGTTGTTCAACCCTGCAGTTTTGGGAAAAAGGTAAGTCCAGGGTTGGCATATAAGAAAAGAGTCACGTGAACATTAGGCTCTGAGCTTTAACATTGGGAATCAAACTAGGATTACATCAGGGGAGAAGAAAACCTTTTGATGGGAGCCTTATTTTCCCTTTTACTTCCTGATTTATGCCTTTGATTTCCCTCCATCCCCCTCTCCCCACTATCCTGGGGAGGGCGTGATCCTTGTAGAATCTCCTTATTTTGTGGCAAGAAACATTTCCCATTTTGAGGAATTGTAAACAGCATCTGTCACGGCAGCAAAGACAGTTATGAGCAAGCCCAGCTGGACTGTATTTCCAACCTCCAGTTCTCCTTCCTCATCTCCACCTCCTGGCTTCCTGTAAGTGTTTGCATGTTGCCTCCTCTAGTTAGAGATGAGCTCCTTGAGGGCAAGGACTGTCTTTTACCTTTCTTTGTATCCTCAGAGCTTACTGCAGTGCCTGGCACTTAATAAATATTTGCTGATTTGACTCCAGTTTTAAACCATCCCATTGTCAAGTTAAAGAAAGCTAAACACTAAATTTGTACCTAAGAAAATACAAGTTGCTTCTCTTTATTTTTTTCCACCCATCCATTAATTCGTTTATGTGCTTATCAATTTGTCTGTCTATCCTCATTTTTTCTTTTGCTTACAATCCTGTATAGTCAGGCAAAATTTTTGGACAAAAGGCTCTGATTCTACCTATGTTTTTGGACTTCATGAAATTCATTTCTTCTGATGGTCAACTCTGTCTACTCTTACCTTGCCCCTGTGCCCCACAGACTTTCTGCATTTACATCTTTGGTTTACTTCTGCCCTGCCTTCTATCCTTCTCTCTTTTCTCCTTCCTCATGATTTACATAGAGCATCCAGCAAATAGACAAAAGCAGGAAAACATTCATAGAAATTAAAAAAAAAACCCAGGACTTAAAAATCAATCAACAAACATTTAGTAAGTTCCAACAGTGTGCCAGGCACTGTGCTAGATACTGAGGGTACAAAGACAAAAGTAAAATAGTTCCTGCCTTCAAGGAGCTTACATTCTGTTGAGGGAGACATGCACACAGAAATATATATACAAAATACAATCAGAATCACACACAGTGATTTTTGGAAGTAGGGCAATTGCAGATGCGGGAATCAGGAAAGGTCTCATGTGAAGATGGAGCTTGAACTGAATCTTGAGGGAGACCCAGGATTCTAAGAGGCAGAGATGAGGACAGAGTGTATGCCAGGTATAGTGGACAGTCGGTATAAGGGCTGAGAGTTGAGAGATAGAGGGTTATGTATGAGAAGCAGTAGGAAGGTCAATTTAGCTGGACTGGAGGGAACATGAAGGGAAATACTGTGTAGTAAGCCTATTGAGAAAAGGAGTGACATGGTCATACCTCTACTTCAGGAAAATCACTCTGGCTGGTATGTGGACAATAGGTAGGAGTGGGGAGAGACTTAAGGAAGGGAGATTTGACAAGGGGGCTGTTGTAATAGGCCAAGGGAGAGGCTGAACTAGTATAGAAGAGAAAGGGGCATGTGGAAGAGACGTCATGAAGATAGACATGATAACATTTGACAGCAGATTGAATTTGCGGAGTGAGAGTTGGGCATCATGCCAAAAGTATTGAGTGATTGGAAGGTTGGTGGTAGCCTCATCATAGGTAAGGAAGTTTGGAAGACAGGTATGTATAAGAGGAAAGACAACTGAGTTGTGCTTAGACATGGCTCTTATGCGATGTCTGCAGTATATCCACTTCAGAAGCAATTGGTGATACAGTACTTGAGGTGAAGAGAGAGGCCAGGGCCATATATGGAGATCTGGGAGTCATCTGTACCAGGCCCATGATGAAATCCATAGAAGCTAATGAAGTTACCAAATGAGAGAATAGTAGCTGTGGTAATCCACCAATTACAGAGGAAGAGAAGAGAGGAGAATCAGTTCCAGGACAGAGCCTTGGGTTATATCCACTGTAAGTGAACATAAATATGGATGATGGTCAAGCAAAGGACACTGAGAAAGAGCAGCCAGACAGGGAAGAGGAGACCCAAGATAGGCAGCTGGTGGCACAGTAGACAGAGCCCTGAGTCTGGAGTTCAGATCCAGCCTCAGACACTTACTAGTTGTGTGTTAACCTATTTGCCTCAATTTTGTCAACTCAAAAATGGGGATAAAATAGCAGATTAAAGCATACTATTTTCTTTTTTTTAGTTTGCTTTTTCTTTCTCATGTTTTTTTTTCCTTTCATAATATGACTGAAGTAGAACTATATTTAATATAATTGTAAATGTATAGCCTATATGAGATTGGATGCTGTGTTGGGGAGGAGGGAAGGGAGAAAGGGAGAAAAAATTTGGAACTCAAAATCTTATAAAAGTGAATGTCGAATACTATCTTTACATGTAATTGGAAAAATAAAATACTGCATAAAAAAGAACATTTTTTACTAATGTATAGCAGGTAATGCCAGTAGTGTATATGTGGTAGAATCTCTGCTATATTAACATTTTTCAGTCTTTCAAATTAAAAAATTTCAAGTCAATTTCCTCTTCCTTACCTCCTAGACTTTATCTGTCACTATCTAATTCAATAAATATCTGATGTTTGTTATTAAAAAAAAATAGTACCTCCCTTACAAGGTTTTTGTGAGGATCCAATGAGTTAAAAGTCATAAAAAGTGCCTGATATACAGTAGGCACTACATAAATGCTTATTTCTTTTCTGTAGTATCACAAAATACCATCTATGAGAGAGGAGGATAAGGTGGGGCAGTCTTCAGTGTCAAATGCTGCAGAGTGGTGAAGGATGAGGATTTTTAAAAAGATTATTCTATTTGGCAATGATGAGGTGATGAGGGCACTATCTGCAGAGAGCAGTTTTTGTTGAGTGATGAGGCCTAAAGCCAGATAACAAGGAGTTGAAGAGTGAGTGAGAGGAGAGGAAGTAAAGGAAACGATTGAAGACAGATGTGTGGCTGAAAAAAGAGGAGACAGAGAGAGAAAGTGAGAGAGAGAGAATGAGTGAGAGAGAGAGAGAGAGAGAGAGAGAGAGAGACAGAGAGACAGAGAGACAGAGAGACAGAGCAATAGTTAGCAGGGAAGGTGAAGGTTTGTGGAAGGTAGGAAAGACTTGGGCCTATTTGTAGGTTGTAGGGAAGTGACTCACAGATAGCGAGAGGTTAGAGGACAAAGAAGGAGGGGAAATGATTGTAGGAGCAATCTGTTGGAGAACACAGGAGGGAATGCGGTTAAAGAAATGTGTGAGAAAGAAAGAATATGTGGGAAAGCAATAGATAATTAACCCTATTCTTTGTTCTTTTTTTATCCTGTTTTATCATGAAAATGACAATTACTTCCATGTTGAATTCGAAAGGACAGTATGAAAAAAATCATGGCCCGGAATTGGTAAATTTTTAATTTTTATCTAAGTTTGAGTAATGTAAGCATCTAACAACTGCATGGCTTCTCATTCAGGCAGTTGAACTGGCTCCTTACCATAGCTGTAAAAGGGGAGATTTGTATGTTATTTTACTCCCCTGTTCAAAAAACTCCATTGACTGTCTATTCCCTTTGGAATGAAAAAACAAACTCCTCTGTTTGGCCTTTAGAGCCCTTTGACATCTGGCTCCGACCTAACTCTTCAAACCGATTTCATATTGTACCCATTCATACATTCTCTAGTCAAGTCAAACTGGACTGCTTGATTTTCTCCAGAATCAGCATTCCACCAGACTGTCTCCCGTGTTTGGAGTACTCTCCCTCTTCACCTTGTTCTTGTTATTGTTTGTCCTTGGTTCTCAAAGAGGACCATGACATCAGGAAGGTGATGCCTTGAATTGGATTTGAATGAGGGCGGGCTGTGCAAAGTCACTGGCTATGGCCCCATCCAGCACCTAGGAAATTCATGCTGCTATCATTCCTGTTCCCTCACAGGGCTATCCATTCCCCAGATAAACTCAAACCCAAGCCCTGCCTTATCTCAGAGTGATATGATGTTACTTGGTGGTGCAGTACAGGTGGTTTTTATGTGGGAGTGACACCTTTATGCCAGTTTCGTTAGAATGGCTCTGCTGTACTGGGTCTGTGTATTTCAATACACACACACACACACACACACACACACTCCTACTCCAAAGAGAGATGGTTAGTTTGAGCTCTCAGGTAAACCCCATCCCTGACCCCAGGAGGTGGACAGGCAGCATGTGGGCCAATATGTCTAGGGTGTTATGTTCTCTGATATCTGGGATTAAATTGTGCTTATTAATTTTACTTACAAACAGGAATGCTATAACATGGAACAAACTCGTAAGGCTTTTGTGATGTGTGTGAAGACAGGCAGACCAGGGGCCGAGCAGGATATAAATATGATAAGAAATTGGCTTGAAGAGTGCAAGTTTGAATGTATATCATGCATCGATCCTGATGAAAAGGTAAGCATTGAGACAACATTGATAACTGACTTTTACAGCCTCTTCCTTTTTCATGAGGTCATCATGAATACTATCTGAGCAGCAAAGTCTCCTTCCTTTCTA